CATAGACTCTATTGGATTTGATAATTTAGTTTTTTTATTTTTATTTTTTCACTTAATTCTATAATAAAAAAAATAGATGTTTGAAAAATTACCTACAAACCAAATGTTTGAATGTTTATTTGAGATTATTATAATCTCATTCAAAGTAAATAGAAATAAATTATGAAAATAAATTTAAAATTAACTAAATATTAAAGGATAAAGTTAAAAAAAAATACAATAAAAAAACTCAATAAAAACTTAATATTAAAAAATAAGATTAGAAAAAAAAGAATGAGGGGAGAGGGGGGATTTGTTCTATATTAATTCCTATAGCTAGGTTACTATCCCAATTATCTATTCAACTAGTTTTGCTCTAGGAACATTGAATTATTTATGTTATGATTCAAAATGTGAAATATAAAGTTGATTGTCACTGTTAAGAAATAATATATAAATTATATATTTTTATCTCATTTAAATTTTTAAATTAAAATAGTTTTTTGATATGGTATCAAAGTTTTGATAACCTAATAATCATGAATTCAAATTTTAATCTTTTTTGATAATCTAATAATCATGAATTCAAATTTTAATCTCCCTTTCATTTGATTAAAATAAACATAATGTAGTAATAAGTTTGTACAAGTTTCAAGTTTAAAAAAATTTTATTTAAAAAAATATGTTACAAAATAATATATAATTTATATTTTGTTACTTCACCTAATAATTTAAATTTTTAAGTTGATATAATTCTTTAAGATACTACATCCAAATTATATATATTATTGTATAATTAAAGCATTCGAGTACTTTCATATATATATATATATAATTAACGTGTTAAATTTTTCTTTTATTGATGTTTTTTAAAGAATTACTTCAACAATTTTTGTAACCTAAACCAATTATTTTACAACACGGTATTTTTAAACTTAATTCAAAGTACAGGATTTAGAGTCTCTAATATTTTTTTTCTAGTATAAAAATTGAATATTCAGAACTAAGATATAATGAAAGACTACTCTAGCCTCCTTTTACAACACGGTATTTTTTAAACTTAATTCAAAGTACAGGATTTAAACCCATGAACTCCTTGCAAATGCACAAAAAAAAAAAAACGCACTATCATATACCGAAGGCCTATTGGTTAGGACTTCACCAATTTCATTTGCTAATCCACACTTAAACAACCCAAGATCAATAGAACCCTACGAGGATATGCTACTTTTTCCAAGCAATCTTGTCATGAATGTGCTCATGTAACTTCTTTAGTTATAGTTCTTCCCTTTCTTCAGCTTTGCTACTTATTGGAAGAGGAATCAAGTCCAATGGGCTTGTTGAATTCTTTCATATATAGTTTGTGGCAAAACAAGATATAAATCTCAAATGTTCTTCTTTAACAAACAAGATATAAATGAATATGATGAATTTATTGAGAATAGTCCGATTTACAGTAATTTAAGTGAATACCCTTCATTCAGTAAATTAATCCTTGGGGAAATGACTCTATTTGATCTTATATTTTAGGTGTTATAACCAATATATTCCTCAACGTACGTATAATTATATTCAATTAAAGTTCCTATATTTCCAAGCTATGTTTCTGTTAAATTCTCTCTATCCAAACTAGTAAAACTATGGCACATAACTTGCACACAATGAAATTAAATTATATATATCCAAAATATCCCACGCCCTGAACTCATTAAAATGAGTTATTATAATTTTTTATAAAAAAATCACCATGTGCAACATTTATCAAGAATTGAGTATTAAAACTCATGTTAATTCTCCAATGGAAGTTTTAAGATTCTTAACAAACTTAGCTTCTCCATTAATAGAAAAAAAAAATCCAATTGAACTTGCTCATTTTTAATACTCCCTTTTTTTATAAAATAATTTGATGATAAAAAAAATAAATATAAAAATAAATATTGTTATTTTTATTCTACATCTAAAACTTTTTTTAAAAATGTTTTTTTAACTTGTAGCCTAAACACACTATCTTCTTTCAGTCATTTCTTTAATTTTTTGTTTAAAAGTAAACATCATTTTTCTTGATGAAGAATTAAATTTTGATATTAAATTTTATTTTTAAAATTTAAAATTATTTTCATATAAAAATTTTGTATTGATTTGTTAGGTTAAAGGTTATTAGTGAAGTTGAGAATATTTTTGTCATTTCAAGTTTGAAAAAATAAAATTGGTAGCCATATTTAAAAAAAAATCCAAAAAATTTGTTTTTAAAAATTCTCAAAATATTTTTTATACTCATATTTTTTTAGGATTTAAGACAGGCTCATGAGTCGATAAGTTAACATGCATCACGCTTAGTATTCAAGTTAGAATCTAGTTCAAGCTGCTCAAGATTTAATCCATAAACAAGTTTAGAATGAACATTGTTCGAGTCGAGACTAACACTAGAGTTCATAGTGCTCTAGTCATTATAAAGTAGGTTGAGGACTATTAGGGTTCACATTATGACATAAGTCATGACTCTGAAGGTCATTTAGTACTAGATTTAAGGTGTTTAAGGTACAAGATGGGACCAATACTAGTTTGGATGAAGAATAGGCCCTTAACACAAAAAGTTTGGGTTAGAATTAGGTCTGAGGGTTCAAGCAAGGATTAGTGTTGGGGAACAAACAAGGATCAATGTTAGGATTTGAACCAAGGTTGGTTTAGGGCGCCCAGGATTTAAACTAGGACTAGATTTATAGTGTTTAGGGTTCTAAATGGGATTAAATCCAAGATGCTTAAGGTTCAGACTAGGATCAATGATGAGGCTCAAACTAGGGTTAAGACCAATATAGGATTATAAACTAATTTTGGGGTTCAAGCTGGTATCAAGTTCTAGGCGTATCTAGGATTAGAGTTTAGAATGATGCTAAGATTCAAGTCATAATCAAATTCGAGTAGCCCAAAATTCCTATTTAGATTGATATTGAACCAAGATTGGGTTTAAGATGGGTTTAAGATTCTTGGTATTAAGTTTAGAAAAAATACTAAGGTTCAAGCCAAAATTTGGTCTAGATCCAAAGTGTTACAGTTCAAGTCAAGATTGGTGTCACATTCAAAAAATAATTGGTGTAAGACTTTGGGTCATGATCAAGTTCAAAGCACTTAAGTTAAAACTGAAATTGGTGCTAGGGTATAGATGGACACTAGGTATAAAACATTCAAGAGTTGAGTTAAAACTAGGTTCAAAGCACCCAAGATTCATGTTTACATTATAGGTGGTTCAAAACACTCGAGATTCAGGTCCAAAACACCAAAAATCATTCTAGAAATCGGGTCAAAATTGGGTCTTAAGCACTTGAGGTTCAAAGTAAGACTTAAGAATTAAGGTGGGTAGAAATCAAAATTGAGTTTGGGACACCCAAGTTTTGAGTCTTGAAATGTAGAGATCATTCCCAATAATTCAAGTATCCATTTAAATTTAAGTGTATATTTTGAGGAAAAAAATATCAACCAAACAAGTTCACAAGTTTTTAAAAACTAATAATATAGTCCAACTCATTTTTCATTTAAAAAAATATTATTAAATTGATGTTTTTTTCTAATAATTTTGATATGCTATTATATATATAAAAAAAACCTCAAAAATTATTTTAAAGTATTTTTAATTAAAAATAATTTTACAAAAACATTAAAAATATTTTTACAGAAACACCCTCCCTTTACTGCATCACCAAACATATACTAATACATCCACTCCACTGGTTTATTAAGAATCTGAGAAATCTAGGCGGTCTTAGAAAATATACACTAAATTATTTAATGAGATTCATCGTATTTGCAATAGCTCAAGTAAACTATACCCATTTACTCAATAAATTTCATAATGTACAGAGAATCGGCCAAATCATCTATCTGAATGCAAGTAAAAATTGGCCCATCGACTAGAATAAAAACACAAATCCTCGGAAATTAACTGAGAAATTATACTATTTTATAAGATATGGACTTGTCTATTGAATGTAGGAGGCATTGTCAATTCTCAACAAACGAAGTAGAACTAATTTACTTTGTTTTTTATCCGAAATTAAGCGACAAAAATTCATCCTAATTAAGTTGTACCCTTTTGTCGATAAATTCTGTATTTACTTAGAATCCTCCCAGATCAACCAGAAATCAAGTAAATATTAGCCCATCATCAGTGTTGCATCGAGGACATCCAAGATTTACTGAAAAAGCATCTTATAACTGGATGATTATTTGTGTTCATATTAACTGAGCAAAATAATTCAACACTCGTCACTCCACGCTTGTTCAGTCACCTGCATGTTACTATTTTCCTTCCTTCAAGCCACTCAATACCCATCACAGTTCTTTAACTGACTAATTTTTTCAACTAAAAATTATTATATATCTAGTAATTCTAGAACCCACCCAAGGGTGAGTTTTTAAGCAAATCCTTGTTATTCTAAAACCTTTTTTTCTTTTCTTTTTTACTAAAAGCAAGTACTAAAAATCTTATTTTCCAACTAATGGTTATTTTGTTCACATTACTTCAGGCCTTGGATTCACCTAATTTTGAGATTTCAAGTCATGACGTAGAGAACCACTCATTTTTTACCTCTACAATTCAATCACAAAACGAAACCATATCTGATTTGGGCTCCAATGTCAAACAAACAAAGAAATGCTTCAGTGAACTTTTTTTCTCTTTTAATCTGGAATTATTTCAATAATAATAGAAAAGGTGTACAAGAAGACCACATTAATGGCTGCGATAAGAACGATAACAAGCCATGCCATTGTATTTTGAAATCAGTTATTTAAAAGAAACGTATGGAGAGATGAACATGAAAGAGTCTTTAAAAAACAAAATGATGGTATGAATCTAGGGCTTTAATTTCTTTATTGGAAATTTGTATAATATATTATTTTCCTAATCCATTACAAATGGCGATTTCAAAAATAAAAACACCAATATTTGAGAAATAAGTTCTGAAGTACCCCTTGGAAAAATAAGCTTATGAAATATGAAATACAATTGTTTTGGTTAAAAAAACTCCATAAGACGCAAAAACAATATGAGACCAGATCATATGTTCAAATGAATACCTTCAAAAGAAGTTGACAGTCATGGATACACCTAAAGAGTTGAACACCAATATGAAATGATCCAGTATGAGGAATGTGCATCGCTAAAAATCTGCAACATCTATCATCCACCAGTTGCTTAAACCTAAAGTCTGTCTATCCTGCATTCCAAAATGATCAATTACATAAGAGAACATCTGTGAAAAAAACATGGCTAAGGTTTACCACGTTATTTTTGGCTTGATATATCATCTCACATTCTGAGAGAGATGGTAGCGAACTAAACAGCTGCATCCTGAGACAAAATTATTCCAAGCTATAGCAACAATGGCTCCAGACAAAATGTGATGACAGTAGCATTACAAGAGATCGAAGATCAACTGCAGAAATCGATCGGCCAAATCACATTCACCAGTGCAAGTTCAAATCCACAATTAAATACCTTAAAAGAAAATGGGCTGAAGGAAAAAGTAAAAGAGTATGATCCGCATTATTGTAGTAAAGAGTAATCTGTAATGAAATGGCAAATTAAATGGCCATCCACTGAATGTTTCACCGCTGTCACAAAATCAGGGCTTCAATTCTCAATAGGAGTATATTGAAAAATTTACTGTACCCAGTAGATTCTATTGAGTAATCAACAATCCTATACGGAAAATCAATCAATAGATACAATCACCAACCTGTATATCATATCAGGCCTACTCTTTTTCCAGGGTCAGGCCACCATTTTTACCAGAGCGATCAGAGAGGTGATGCTGCTGTCTGGTTACAAGAGGACAAAGGGTTTGTAGCCAACAAGATCCTGTTATTATCCATCAACAGGGCAAAATCCCTCCCTGTGGCAATATGACATCTTGCAATTTCAGGAGGTTGGCAACCACAGAAGATGTAACCAAAACTGTTGTCTATAGAAGCCCAGGACTGTTTGTTGTCTGGAGCCAACAAAATGAGGCGCAAAGGGATGACTGCCAGGTTTAAAAGAGCTCAGGGAGGCACTTCAAATATTTCATTCCCAAAACCCATTCACATGTCAAAACCTGGCATTGCAAACTGAGTTGCAAAATTTTCAACTTGCTTCTGGAGCTCTAAAATTTCTTTCTTGGTTTGCAGACCATTCATGAAAGCCTTCTGCAGCTTCCCATGTTCACGCAGCACCATACAAGCAATATGTGCAGCTTTCAGGAGAAAATCAGCAATTGTCTCAAAATCAGATTCCAGGCAACCTCTTGAAGTCATGGCAGGAGTGCCTGAGTGATTAAAATAGAAGTTAATAAGCAATGAAACCATTTCTTTATAATAGGTCAATGTGTTTGCTGGAAAAAGTTGAAACAAAACTCACTTACCAATCCTTACACCTCCAGGAGTAATAGTTCCATTCTCCCCAAAAATAGCAATTTTATTTACTGTGATGTGGCACAACTCGCAGACCTTTTCATAAGCTTTACCTATGTATACACAAAAGAACGAAAAAATTAGGAAGACCTCATTCATAGAAATTTCAAGGAACAAAGCCCTCGTCCCACCAGATTCAAAAAAAAGTCACATGTTTGCACAGAAAGCTTGCAAATTGATGCAAATAATGAAGGAAATTACAAGGAAAAAAAATCCAGAGTCAGCTTAATAGTTATAATAGAAGTTTCACACAGATCAATCTTGTGACCTACGTTGAGGAAGCAAAACAAGGCTACAAGGAAGAAAGGTCAAGTGGTGCATGTGAAGGAAACAGAAAGCAGTTGTTTGGTGACACACTTATTTTACAGGCCAGCAAGAACACTAGCTATTCTTTATGGCAGTAAACAAGACTGTCAGGATGAACATCTTGTGTTACAAGAAACAAGAAACTAAGGTAGAGTTCGATACATGGGGAATGGACAGAAGACATGAAAGCTTTGTTTGGGCTAATGTTTGGTGTGCAACTGGGATGAAACAAAAGTTCATTTTTTTCTTGTCCCATGCCCAGATTTCTGTTTCATCCCCCCCTAAGGGAGTACCTTATCCAGTCCCATCTCATTATGTCCAATCCCATCTAGTCACCAAACACAAGATGTTTGCAACGTAAAGGATACACACATCTGAGAAAGAAGGTTGCACTAATAGAGAGGAAGATAAGGAATCTTGGCATCTGGGAAAAAAAAAAGTTAGGATGGATAACTGTTAGCAGCAAATGACAGGGTAGACTGATGTAGCATCAATTGAAGGATAAGTTAGGGGAATCTCGTTTAATAAATATAGTTCATAAGTCCTTGGTATAAGGAGGGAGTGACAACATTCGAATACAAGGGATGGGAGGTGACTTAACATAAATGGTGGCTGATGTTGCAAGAAGGGATTTGATTTCTAAATATCTGCAGAGAATATGGGAATATGGGACTAGATAATGCAAAATAAAGGATATGGGTTCAGTGGTTCACATTGTTGAGCACTAAGTTGTATAAAGGGAAACATAAAGGGAAAAAAAAATTCTCACTAGTCTTCCTCAGCAATAAATGTATCCAAAATTCAGACCCAAATTATAAATGTTAAAAAACATATGGGTATGATAAAGAAAAGGAAATGATGTTGAACTTCAAAGAGTGTGAACCATCATCAAAAAAAATATAAGTAATGCCGCCTGTTTGAAGTCAAAATTCATCTTCTATCAACAAGATAACTTATATCAACAAGATAATAACAGATCATTTCGAATGCTACTTGAGAAAGAGAGTGGGGGAGTCATTTCAATACCTCATTAAAAACTGAGGCAAAGATAATGAGAATCAATAAAAAAATCATCATAACTAGCAAGCTTCCTTTCTCAAGGATTGAGGAGTTCTCATTTTATGCTTGCAATATGCAATAGCTGATAGCTACATGTGTACCATACCTGTTAATCCCAAAGGCCTGAGATCCCAGAGTAGCAAATGGTTATCTGTGCCTCCAGTTACTAGCCTGCATTTTCTTCTCAGTAAAGCAGCTGCTAAATACTGTGCGTTTTTCTTCACCTGTTGCATGTATGCCTTGTACTCAGGGGTAGCCACTTGTTTAAAGGCTATGGCAAGAGCAGCGATGTGGTTATTATGTGGTCCACCTTGCAATGATGGAAAAACAGCAAAATTAATCTTATCCTCGAAATCATATTGATCACTCTCATCTCCTTGACCTAGATGGATCCCCCTTTTCCTTGGTTTTGTATCCTTCCTATAGAAAATGATGCCTCCCCTTGGACCTCGAAGACTTTTATGGGTTGTTGAGGTAACAATATCACAGTAAACAAAGGGGTTCAGACATTCCTGTATTAAAATAAGCCAAATTAGTTGATCCATGGTCCCATTCAATTAATAACATGCTTATTAAGGAAATGGTCAAAAGTGGAAACACACCACTATCATTGATCCTATTCAAAAAACATTGACAAGTTTTATGTTCAATAATGCTTACATAGACACCAAGAAACCCTAGTAACCTAAACGAAAAAGGTATCATCTAGTCTTATTCAGGAAAGGGCACAGACTTAGTCATGTTTCACATGAGCAGTGCTTCTGCAATTAACATGGCTCAAAGCAGGTAATTAGGCTAGTTCATGACTAAGCCTTGGGAATAGGATCTGGAGTACACTAGGGAAGAGAAAACTCTCAACCAGAAATATTTTATTGATAGAATCACAAAAATAGTTCAACTACACTTATATAGAGTCCCAACAAAAATAAAATTAACAAGTTGCTAAAATTAAAATAATAAAATCCTGGTAATTAAGAAATAACAAAAATAGCTCCTATATTATATTGATTATATATCCTGGAAAAAAAAAAGGTCTCCAGGTATACTTGCTAGACAGTTTGTTGTCCTGGATCAGTATCCTATTCCCATGCCTTAGATCAGTATTTTAAGCTTCCAATCGGCCATTCCCTCCTCAAGCTTAAAGGAATCCACATAGCAAAGGTGCCAGAACTTTACTCCCTTTCAGTATATAGTACAAATGAAGCTATGAAACTTATCATCTCTAGATCGCATATCAATCAACAAGCCTTGTTATCATGTCTCCATAGAACAAATACTCCATATAAATGAAAAAATTTGCAGAGGAGCATTTCAACAATAAGTTCAAGGCCAATTTTCTGATTCTGGGCCAAAACAGCCAATGCTCTATTGAGTGATGGATTTAAATTCTGTAGATAAATTGATTCCCATATTACATAGTATAGTATTACATCACCAAACAATAGAATGTAATGTAAGATCACAAATTTCTCAAAAACAAAGATTCCAAGACGTTGATTAATAGCCTGAATGCCAGGCAAAGGACTCCATTACCCTCTCAACGAAACAAAACTTAACACGTTTTGAAGAACAAGTAGCATCACTACAAACTATCAGGGGAAATGATTCTCAGCAGTGGCAAAGCCCCAAATTCATGCAACAGATTGTTACTGCTACGTGTGAAAGCAGTTAACATAATTAACAGAAGACAAATTGAAAAACAAAGACATCTTTTATCACGGAATATGCAATGCATTAAATAAAGTTAACATTAAAGCAGGAATAGACAAGCAAAACAAGAGAATCGTAATGTGTACCTTAGCAGCAACAAGACTTAACATTAAAGCAGGAATTGACAAGCAAAACAAGAGAATCGTAATGTGCACCTTAGCAGCAACAAGACCACTAATCTGTGCCATATCACACATAAGCACAGCACCACACTTATCCGCGATATGCCTTAACCTCGCATAACCCCACTCCCTTGGATACGAGCTACCACCACAAATGAGTATTTTTGGCCTAAAATCAAGTGCCCTCTCCTCTAACTTATCGAAATCAATATACCCAGTTTGAGGATTGACCTTATAAGGCAAACTCTCGAAGAAAATAGATGCACCGGAAACCTTCCGCCCATGAGGGGTATAATAGCCATGACTCGTATTCCCTCCAGATGGTGTGTCCAACCCCATAATCCTATCCCCCGGCAACAATAACCCAGTATACACAGCGAAATTAGCCGAAGTACACGAATACGGCTGCACATTTACTCCCCAACTCTCAGAATCCAAACCAAAAGCCTCCAGTGCTCTCTTACAACACAGCAGTTCAATCTCATCAATGTACTGATTCCCACCATAATATCGCGCTGCAGGCATTCCCTCAGAATACTTATTCGTTAAATGACTTCCAAGAGCCTCCATTACCGCTCTACATACAAAATTCTCCGACGCAATCAATTCGATCCCTTTAAACTGCCTCTCTTTCTCTTTCTCCATTATCTCAAAAATCTCCGAATCCGCCGCGCTTAGCGGCTGGTTCCCCCATGTTTTGACAAGATTCCTGCGCTCTTCAACATCCAATCCATTAGAAGAGGAGGATGCCTCTCTTTTATTGCTCGTCAAAGAATCGCTCTCTCTTCGGCGTTTGAAACACAAAGAGTGCCCTAATATCCTAAACTCCTCGACATCTCTGTCATCGTCGTCTTCTTCTTTCTCGACGTTTTGGTTATTGCAGTAGTGAGACTCGGTCACTGGCTCGAGCAATTGGAGAGGAACGGGTGAAACCGGGTTGGCGGTGGGGAGGTCGCGGAGGCTAGAGTCGAGCTGGAGAGAGATTGAATCGTCGACTATTTGTGCACGGTGAAACCCTAGATTTAATTTAGAGTCCATTTTCTATAAAATCAGAAAGTTCAGAGAGCACAGCAGCAAAAACAGGGACAGGAGGGGTCTTTGCAACGGCAGTAACGGAACAGGGACTGGTGGTGGTGGTGGTGGTTTGACAGCGACAGGATCCTAATTCTGATTGGAGAGAATGATTTTTGGCGGAGAGGTAGAGAGAGAGGGTATGGACCATTTGTTTATTTTGAGGGCGTTGTGCTTCGAGAGAGAGAATTACGTGGATGATCCTTTCAGGCAGCTAGCAATACAGAATTTTTGTTTTATAGTGGGGAGGCGGTGACCAGTGTCTGGATCGAATCTGCTTAACAACAAGTGAGGTTGATTTTTTATTTTTTTTAATATTAATATTTAAAATTTGAATTGATAAAAAAGGAAACAAATCTTCTTATCTTCCAAGCAAGTTTTTTGATATCGTTTGATTATTAATATTTTATATATATCTTTTTATTTGAAAGTCTAAACTCACTATTTTTATAAAATTAGTTTTTTAAATGTTAATTAAAAAATATTTGAAATAGATTTTTTTAATATTTATAATATTTTTATAAAACAATTTTATTCTGTTATTATAATAGTAAAACTCTTATCAAACAATAATTTCATGTAACAAAAGAATTATTCAAGCTTTTTTGTTTTACCAGCATAAAATTACTTATATTTTTTTACAAATATTTTGTTATTCTCAAAATTTCATTTAAACTTCTAGACCAATAAAATTTTTATGATATTTTTATAAAAAAACAAAAATCTTATTGTGTTATATATAGTATTAAAACATTCGTGAAACAACCCTTTTATGTAGCAAAGGAATATATTCAAACTTCTTTTTTTAACCAACATAAAATTACTTCTACTTATAAACAGTTTGTTACTCTCAAAATTCCATCTAAATTTCCAGGCTAATAAATTTCTTAAAAATATACATATATTCATTTTGGTGTTATAAAACTAGTCTTGTCTTATTATGATTGTGAAGGTTTACCTATTACAGCAAGATTAACTCTTTTAAATACTACATATCTAGAGTATCAACATGTATGCATTAGATCTCTTGAAACCACACTGAATTATAGTACAATAGTTCTTACTTTCTATCCAAACTTCAACATAGCTTTGGATGACCCTTAACTCAACCACTTTTTGAAAGTCTAACTGTAAATTATGGGTGCTAATCAAGTTTTAGATACCTATCAAACCATTCTTCATTATCAAATAACTTATAGGGTCCAAAACCATGCTTTTGATTTAGTACTTCTAGTTATAAATGATGTTTTACTTATTACTATTAATATCAATCAAAGAGCCATTTATAGTTATGTCCTATGACAAATCCTGAAAGTGGACTTACAAAAGTTACTCTCATTTTCTTGGATTATCAATTATGAAAAGCTACATCAAAGCTCTATCCCCATACAATCTATAGAACCTGAATACACCAAAAAAATCTAATAATACTATTGAAATCATCTTCAAGAAAGGAGCCCCCTCCATTTCTCCACCAAGAATTTTTTTCCTCTTCCATTTTGATGATGCAACTAGCTCAAGCTCCTCTCCTAGAACCTCTAAAATCCTTTTTTAAGGACAGTCTTCCCGTCTATTCTTTCTCTCAAGACAACCATGTTTTTGGGGATACTTGTAATTGTAACAGTTACCGTAATCTAGACATGAAAGATAACTCCCCAGGCAAAAAAGGAAATCTTCAAGACACTGAAAGACAGATACAATCAAGAAGACAGAACAATTGATATTTTGGGACAACCCTTTAGAAAATTTGACTTTTTTGTCAAATATACTCATCCCTCTTAGGCAACTCTAGAACCAGCCCCTACAGTCTCCATGCATTAACCTACAAGTCCTTATGATGATGATTTTCCTACTTTATAAGAATAAGTCAAAGACAGGGTTTGAACTCTTCCACAAATTCATAACCCACATGGCATAGATACTGATGGATGCCCTAAACAAGTCACCCAAATCGAAGCAGTTCTCAATTAGAAAAGTCAAAATGCCACCACCCCAAATTATGTTCTTTATAGAATTGAATATAAGGTTAACTTGGTTCAAACTAACTTGAAAAATATTATAGTTTTTGTTGATTCTACAATTCTTCATCTAGAACAATTATATGCTAAAATTTAACAAAGGATCTCTATCATCCAAGAGTATTTACTCCTTTAAGCTTCTAATGGCAGATATATAGACCGTCAGAAGGAACAAGAGCTTAAGCCCCTCAAAATACAACTCAAATCTCTTCAGGCTGAATTAGTCAAATTCAAATATAAGCTTTTACCATTTCTTAAACCTCCACAAACTAGGATGACCTTCTATTATCCAAACTTTTATTAGGCTAAACATTCCCCTTCCTATAATCCATAACCTCTACCCATCACACCTCAACTATTTGGAAACCCAAACATAGAAAAAACTTTCAAACCTATCTCTAAAAATGATAAAGGAAAAACCCCAGTATCAATCACTTCTAAAAAACCCAAATCACCAGCCCCTATTATCTGTTCATCATTTGATTCTTTTGAATCCAAAAAGAATGAACCTGATGATCCCTTCCAAGACACTTAGGACCCTCATCAACGTGTGATCCAATCAAACCAACCTTTCAACCCTATTGATTAGTATTTAAAAGTGCATTTTTATTAAGGTTTTATATTGTCATATTGCACTTGAAGTATCAATAACTTAACTAAAACATGTTTTATAATAACATATCTAATAATATAAGATACCTTTAATTTATGGTAAATGTTCATTTTAAATGCAGGC